ACTTCGAATCATCCTCCACATCCTCCCTGCATCCCACAAATCGCTTGTGCCATTCAAAAACTCTTGTTCTGGACATGGAAGAATCTCCATAAACATCACACAATTTCTTCAAAGTCGCAGTCGCCGTTTTTCCAAGTTTGACACAAAATTTAATGTTAATTCATTGCTCAATCGTCATTCTGCAATTGAACCCCCTATCGCCAAAAAACTCAATCAGATCTCGCACGGCAATTTTTTTTTCAACATGCAATTAATCACATTCACCTATGGCTCCTAAAGAGCAAAAATAATTGCGATATTGTGTCAAAAAAGCTGTTGAACAAAGAACACATATTACACCACACTGTAAAAGTGTTGATTACCAATGGTTAATCGTGTTGCGCAATCTGTGACGTCAGTCTCGTTTCTTTTTAGCCACACCTCGTACATTGAGTCGAGCAAATCATTTTGAATATCCTTAGATGTCCCTTTCGAAACTGTTGCGGCATCAAGATGATCTCTCAATACTGTATCTAGGGATGCGGTGTATTCCACCATATCCAAAAATACCCCTCTATTAGAAGAGCCAGCCCGTTCATCGTGCCCACGGAGGGACAGCTCGTGACAACCAATGAACTTCAAAACATCTATCAATCGACCGAGAACATGGCGGTTTTTCTCGACGTTTTGGTTGTGCCGACGAATAGAAACCGCGCGTCCTTCCTCCAACTGTGCTGCAATATTAACATTTCCGAATGTTCGGTATTTTACTGCATTGTCCAGATGCTCCATAGAAGATTGATTGATCCCTGGCACGCTCGGAAAGATGTTTAAGATCTCTTAAACCAAATTTACACCAACGTGAGTCACGGGTGGTAGCAAAAAGTAGGCAATAAAAACAAAAAAGTGCATTTTTGTCCTCGCTGTAACACAACCATTCGTGTTTTTTATACCAATTTTCTGCGCAGAATGTACGCCGACGCTTTCCTCCGTCATGGGAATGTTCCAGTGAACAATTATTTGGTTGATAAGGCCCAAGACGTTGTACCTCTAATTTTTGTTCCAGCGGCAGCTGCGAAAACGGAGTGCGAAGTAGTGCATCAACCTTATTCATTATGAGGTCTAAGGCTAAGAAATGCGAAGCCGGAAAGAAGTGAGGAGTTCAAAAGAAATGTGGAAAATCGAAAGCAAATGGACTAAAGGTCTCTAACTGATTCAAATAGCGAAACAAGCGACAAAAACGAAGGCGAGGAAACTATCAACTCTTCAAGCAACCAACGAACGAGAAGGAATGCGTGAATATGTCAACACGTTGTTGTAAGGAACGTCGTCATTGTGTCGTCATAATTTCGGGGCTAGCCCCGTTGATTTAGTAAATGAAACAGAAAACAAACGAGACAAACGCGGCGAGTGGAAGATAAAAGAGAGAATACGATATACAATGAGCAACCGGGGCAAAATCGGCGTCGCCCCGTCGACGTTCGGCGAAGGCTTTGCGAGCGAAAAATGAACCATGTCGGGAGAATATGGCTGTAGACAGTCAGACAGTGTAGACAGTCTGTGTAACCGATATTGAGGTATTTTTCGAATATTTTTTATTATACCGAAAAAACAACCGGGGCATTGCCCCGGTTGGCCCTATTGACGCGCCGCCACTGATTTTAACGTACAATGTTATTACTATATTGAGGAAAAGGATATTACTGTGTGCGTTTGAGACTCCAAGTATTATTGACATAATAATACATAGTGATGATATTCCAAACGCGTTCATTTTCTCTGCATTTCAATATTTCCATCCAAATGCATAAATACAGCTTAACCAGAAACTATTTTGGAGATCATGTAAGAAGTAGACTTTCCTAGTTCCGATGCACAGCGCCCTCGGAGTTTTTATTTTTGTAATTGCTGAACCTACGTTGTCCGAATGATTGTTGAACATATATATTCTTTTTTAGTGAATCAATGACTATGCAGTATATTCAAAATTTCGTAACTTATCGAACTTGATAATGACTCCTAACTCTCTGAAACAGCGGGAAAACAATTCAAAAGTTCTTGTTTCCGCTCAGATTATAGTAGTAGTCAGTTGTAATGTTGGTATATAAAAACAGTATAGCAATAATAATCATTGTAAATGGTTCACGGTGTTCTTTTTAGAGGTAAGCTTCCGTGGGCTGCCTGTTTCTACACGAATATGTAAAAATACTCACAGATTTCACATTAGAAGCAGCCTACGAAAGAGAGATGAAAAACATATATTTTGTATGATGCACTGCACTGATTCGATGATATAATCGATGGAGTGATTTTTTTCATCTCAAGTTACTTGCTTTAAGTTATAATATTGCTGAGATCAGTGTCGTTTACCTACGTTTCTCTGAAACTCCATCACGCACGTCACTAATCAACTATAAATTGCCTGCTACCGTTTGCACATTACATTTTTATTGAACCTGGTAACCTGACTAAACGTGGTTCTAGATGTTGACCTGCGTCTGCCAGCACATCAACGTAACATTAAACTCCTGATACCTATTAGTAGGCGCTAGCATACGTTGCAAGACAATACCAATTTCTTTCTAGTCCGTCAAGAGTCGAAAATCTGGCAGGGCTCATGTCTTATCTCGCTATTGGTGATGTTCAGGATATGTGGGCAGGATTACTAAGAACTGGCAAAACAATGTTGCTTTCTCAGTATTACACTAGTAAGGTTAAGCTATGAGTCTTTTCTTAAGCGCTGTCACGTAATAAAACGTCGATTTGGTATGTCTTCAAAACACACATATATATTTTTTACTTGTTGGTTTTTCTGCCATGATCTGTACAGTCGTTTTAGACACAAGTGAAAATAGCTTTATTGAATCATTACATAAAATATGAATATCTTCGCTGAATTTTCTGCTTTTAAAATATAGTCTTCCACCGCGACTAAGATTTCAAACATAATTGTTTTATTATATTTTAATTCATGAGAATTTTTTGACATTCTCTGTCGAGATATTTGAACATTGCTCTCGTATTATTAAAGTGAGACTATTTATTTTATATATATATATATGCCAAAAATATTACTAAAACGAACATAATAATAGCATGCATTATAGCAGCTGCATTATAGCAGCAATGAACTCTTATTGAATATTCGATTTTATGACGAATGTGATCATATTTCTGATATCATATATGTCTCATTGAAAACGTTCATGGAAATTTAACTACGTACATAAAGTAAATACACACAAACAGTAAATACAATTTTTATATACGTATATAATCTTGATTTTTGGCTTATGGAATTACCTTAAATAAAAGTTACTCATATGCTTATGACATAGATTCCTACTACGCATCGGCGTAACATCTATTACGCATCATCTACTGAATCTTTTGAAATTTCTACACTCAAGACTATTGCGAATATTTTATTTTTATTTTTTTTTCAAGTGCTCAATATTTGATTTTTATACTTTTCTATCCATGCGTATATTGCGCCACCGCGTGCCTTTAGTTCAGTCGAGTCCGCCATCTCGTTCAACTCGTGCCGAGCTACAACCTTACTAGGTTTTTCTGCAAGTTACAATAACCACTACTGTACTGCGGCTAGTCATTGAATATTTGTATCTGGATATTTAAGTGCTGCTATGTGGAGAGAGTGTGAAAATTCATGTGTTAATTAAGAAGATTTATTCGTGATTTCATTTCTGCCACTTAACTCTGTTCATTAGACTTTGAAACAAAACCAATCAATCTATATCAATGCTGTGTTGTCAGATGTACTGAACGAGAATAAGGTAAAAGTTGACAACAGGTTGCTCTAAATTATTGGACACGAAATGGGCCTATGGGTCGTTTTGTCATAAATACGTAGCGGTGGCGTTTGGGTGACGAAGTCGGTTTGGGTCTGGAAAGACATATACATAAATTGTTACGCCCACTAGAAGTATATCTGTATTACCATACTACACTAGACCCAGTTACGGTAGCTTTACCATAGTTTCAGCTACGTTCGGGATGAGCTTTTAAATAAATTGCGGGGAGAATCTTTCGTTTTGACTTTCGTGTCCATATATTTTATCATTGATCTCTTATCCGAACAATGACGCCATCAAATATTGTTCCCGTCTATTTATGTCTTGTATGAAATCATCAACACGCATACATGACAATTTGTAAACTCTAGGCATGTCAGTACTATCATAGGTAGTGACTAGTGAGAATGCACCATCACAACACAACATACGTTTCTTTGTGCTTTTATTTGAATCATTTTTAGAATAGAATATGCATGAAACAGTTATTTACCTAAACAATATTATAATAATTCAAACATGGAAGAAATCATAATAGAACGATTAACATGCATTTTACACTTACTAAATTCTAAGACACTCAGACTCAACTATTTTACGTTTCAAAATCATATCATAATCTTACTATAGAATAATCAGATGCCTGTTCTAAAAATATATTCAACGTTCCGAAAACATAGGCAAAAGAACGATACGGCTAGACTAGAAGAAAAGTGGGTTTTTGTTTATTATTTAATGCGAATTATAAAGTTTGTCGTGTTCAGCTATCCATTGACATTTCCGTCGCATGATTGAACGCGTATATTGCTTGCTGTGTGTCAAATTATCTTAACATCTACTGTTTCCACATTTGGAGAGCTTGAACAAATATTTTTGTGAATATGTATAAATATTATGATATAATTTCCCGTTCAATATCATAGTTGTTGTAGTTTTTACGTGAAATAGAATAACAAGATTTGTGGAGAACAAATGGCTTCGTCATGGAGTCCACAATTCTCGTGAATTGTGAATTCGAAAAAAAAGAAGAAGCAAAAAGATCAAGTGAAAGTGCAGTAATCGATAGAACTGGACCAACTCGAGGTCTTCTTAAAAGCTCAATTACACGATCTAGTGGTTTGAGCTTCTCTAGTGTCATCTTATGACGATCTGTGAAATTAGAACAGACACATCACCGCCAGAAAGAAACGCAGCGCTGATTATATTCACAGTCCTTATGTAATTAACTTTTGACGATCTTTTCTCTTTATTAGACACGGAAGCACAATAAAACACAAATTAGTTGTTGTGGTGGAAGTAACAACGATCAATAGAAAATTGGTAAACTTTTCAAATACCGCTTTTTGATTTTCTTTATTGTAATATGATGGAAAGCGCAGCATTAACAGAACTAAATAGGTCGTTTAAAAAAATGTATGACAATACATGTTTACGGCATAGCACAAGGAGCTCAATACACTCTTAGTAAGCAAGTGAATAGAGACAAATAATGTCCTGGTCCGGCTGTAACATAGAAATGTCGATCAACACCTACACGAATGTTTACATAGTGTTTTATAAAATTCAACATGTTTTCTTCCATTTTGTGATGTTCTAGTAGATACTGCATATCTCGAGTTCATTAGGCGTTGTAAGTTTCGTAAGCTGATTCCACTTGTGTTTGCTTAGTTGTTGCAGGTAGAACTTGTTCGTAACCGGCAGTTTCTTCTAGCACGTTCGAATATGATGGTTGAGTAACTGGGTCGTTGGAGGAAGTTGCTGATTAATTGAAAAAAAGTTCTTTTAACAACTACAGCAGAAATATTAATTAGATTTAAAATATTGACGAACAGATGGCTTAAAGTGAGATACCTTTTCAAATGATTTGCAACAATTTTTTTCTATCACTCAAGAGCAAATGACAAAAAATGCACGTTTGTATGACTTAACGATACAAAAAATACAAGACCAATCTTTGTTATATTTTAGTAATCTGAAATAGGAATGACTCCTGAAAAGGCATTTTCTCGGGTTCTTCTAAATTTGCTTAATTTCATGTTCAAATATTTTTGCATTGATGATGAAAAAGAATGCTGGTGAATGTCACATGTACTTGTCAAATGTTTAGAATATTTTAATGGTTGATGAGTTGAGTAATATTTCACGATTAAAAGGGAGATTTTCGGATCTCACTACCTTTTTCTTGTATAGTTTCATAATTGTGTCCTTTCGCTTCTGCATTTTTCTCCAACTTCTTTATCTTCTTCATCTGTTTGTATATGATTAAGGCAAAGACTACGTAGAAGATCAAAGGAATAAGAAAACCGATCACAAAACTGACGATGTTGAACTCGAACGATTTTGTTTCTATAAAATCAAAACAATAACTTAAATATCGTAACTTCAATTTTAATTAAATAACTTAAAATAAAACTGAAACAATAACTTAAATATTAGAGATTTCCTAAATATTATTAAAAGTCTTATATTTCAGTGAATGTTTCCCAAATTTCCCTATGTTTTGAAGGGAAAGAACAGTTTAATGCCACACGTCAACTGGTTTTTGCAAAAATTAAAAGTTACTGTCATAAACTTTCGATTGGAATATTATATAGTTCTCGAAACATACGGTAATCAGTTAGTAATTAATTATTTTAAAGAGAATGAACAGTTTAATGTCTCACGTCAACTGGTTTTTGCAAAAATTAAAAGTTACTGTCATAAACTTTCGATTGAAATATTATATAGTTCTCGGAACATAAGATAATCAGTTAGTAATTAATTACCTTTTCCCTTGAATTATTTCCTGAAACCTAATACTGAGTTAAGTTTCAGCCGAAATCATACATCAACAAAGTAAACACGGTTCGCTAATATTTGCTTATTAATAACAAACAAACTTTCAATATATTTATTCTATGCCCTATGGCAGTGGTCTCAACTTTTTACGACTCGTGCCCCCCCCCCTGTTCACCATTTTAAATAACTAGACGCGTTGGATCGTATTATGTATTCACGACCTTTTATGAAATGCAAAAAAAAAACACAGTCAAGAAAGTCGAAGCTTTTTAGTATACAACCAATGGGAAACGTGTGCTTGGGACTGTCTGACTAAGTTCCTTATTTTGGGCACCGTCTGTGATATAGCCATACCGTCTGTGATTTAGACAAACAATTCATGCACAAGAAAATGAATACATCCTGTGACCTGAAATAACCTATTCAGATAATGAAACTGAGGCAAACGGGGAATTTTCTTTTAAAGGGAAAGTATGCAAACGAAGTCGCTTTATAATCAATTATTAAACTCGTGTCGTGGCCCCCCTTGAGCTGCTCCGTGGCCCACTTGGGGGCCATCGGCCCCCGGTTGAGAACCACTGCCCTATGGTATTTTCACACTTTTTTGCTCTGTAAATACAAGGATTGAAACCTAATTAGCGGGATCTCTACAATTTAATAAGAATAATGCACCAACCACCTTCCATGAATTCCATATTATTGAGTGAATTCTCATGATGACTTCCAATTGAGTAAATGCAAATACTCGAACTCTTAACAATTGAATTCAATTTATACTAGTTGGGTTTCCCACACAAAAACCTCTGACAGGCCAAATTTCCATGATTGCATAATCTGATTTGTTTTGGGTCTCGTGTTTGATGGGGTATCGCCTATTTACGCAAAGTATAAGCATATAGATTTTATTTTTATTTTTTGCTGCCGTGTCAAGAAATCTATTCTATTTGTATTAATTCTACCTTTAGATAAGAGTTTGTGACCATGTTTTGAAAATAAAAGAGAAACTTCAAAAGTAACTTACTCAATAATATTGACGGACTCGTTCGCAAGCAAATATCATTTCCACAAGGCGTTGTTGACACGACGAATGCACTAACGGAAGAAAGGTAACATTATGTGAAATAAGCTTATTAAATACAGTTGGAGATAAAAATAGTTTTTAGAGCAGCGCGTTCGTTATTCACATCTTATACCAAAATTGATATTTTTGGACTCTTTTATTGTCGATTAAATACTATCATACCTGTAAGATTTTTCATTGATAAGTTTCCGATTCTGTCCTACAAATATCACATTCTCTCCGACATTTCTCCGTCGCCTTCGCTTATTGGACAGGGCATGGATAGTTTGAGTGACGTTACAAGAAGATTTTAAACCATCGCCAAGATTGATGACAGTTTTATCGTTAGTAAATCTGCCACAATGGTAAAACGGTAAAAAAGGAAGAAGTTGCTAGAAGTTAGAAGTAATAATCTAATAGGGACGGGGTCGTTTACATGTGAAATTATGAGATCGAACCATATATCTGCATAACTGATTAATGTTTCAATTTACGACTATTCCAGTCTGTAAGTCATCAGGAAATTTCAATCTGTGAACTTATTTGTTCACTGTCCGTGGTTATCATATCATAACAGTCATATAGAATATTATAAAGTTATATTATATAATATAACTTAACAGAGTACCTGTAAACTGATAACGCTACAGCGATATATTCTGTTGTTGAGCCTTGTGCCTTGATCAAATCCTCCATCCTAAAATTTGTGTTTTCGCCAGACCATCCATCATTTACGATGATAAATAAACAGCTTAATAAAATGAACATATTTTCAAAATAAATAAGAGAGAAATGCAAAAATATTCTGACACAAAGGTCAAACTACTAATATAATGGACGTTTCCCTAAGTCTTCGTCCCCTTACAAACTCTACATACACTTTACCTTTGCAAACAAACTGGCTCACATGTTCGAAATTATCATTTTCAGTCAAAACATTGAACCAAGTGTCGCTTACAGGGACAAATTGAATACATAATGACAATTAGGTTATTTGATTTACAACTAATATTTGGAAATACAACCGAAATCTGACAAATGCCACGTAAAACAACGAAAACGCTGGAGCGGCCGCACAAATTTCAATTGTTTACCAATGTTAACTTATCGCTGATTGGCCATTATTACCTAAATAAAAAAGAAAATGAATGCTCGAGGAAACATCCATAACCACAATGCCAGAAAAATACCAACCAAATGTTAAAATACTGTGACGAATGTCAATCGTGGGGTTATATGGGGCATCATATGACTCAGATGAAATAAAAAAATAAAATAAAAGTAAGAGGTTAAATACTTTTCTCTCCTTCATTGTGGTTTTGCAATTGGAACAATAGCAATTTGAATTTAGTTAAGCCACCCATGGGCTGTATTCTCACAATACAAACCTCAGTAAACCGTTGCTTTCACCAGGTTTAGTCACGGTTATTTTGCGCATCCCGTTACTGTTGGTGGCGTCATCAGAAACAATTGGTTTTCCAATTTCAGTCGGAGCTGTTGAAGAAAAAAATGAAAAACTCATGCTTAAATATATAAACGGTATAACCAGTTAATCAATTTATGCAAACTGGTTTTTCATGAGGTTATACAAAAGATTTCATTCAATATAATTTTCTCATTCTGTAATATGATAACATGTGGACGAAATGTTATTTCGATTCTTTTGTAGATTGTGATCAAGATATAGTTATTTCTTCGTAATGACAATAAATAGTCAAACGCAAAACTTGTTACAATATTGACTAAAAATATGTTGGTTGTATTAATGGAAAACAATAGATCTGAGTAGGAGTTTTCCTTTTAACAATAACTGTGGCTTGTGTGGAAGAAAATATTATTATAACTCATAAATTGATATTAATGAAATTGCGGCGTAAAAATATTGATCTGTCACGTTAAAATAATAACGATCGAAGTACTTTTACCATATCTAAACATTGATTGATAGCACTAGCACATATAGTTTCGTATCGGTGTCAAATCGAATCACTACGTTGTAATAAATATATGGAATGATTTCTTACACAAGTACTTATTATAAAGTTTATTGGGTATATCCTATTATTTCCGCACCACGGATTCTCTGATGTATTTTAGTTGACGCTGTCTATGTTAGGTTATTGGCTCACCTTTTGCTGTTTATCTTACTAACAATTACCTATTATGATAAATAGAGAAAGGTGGGGAATCAACCAAATTATAGTGATGTGACAATAATGTAATAGTAAATTCACTGATATAAATTTGTAAGGGGAATTGCATGTAAAAAAGAAATGGAGTTACTGTGGCTTGACTTTATCTTTATGTCCCATTGGTTGTTTATGATGTGGTTACACACGATCTGCATTTATAAGCGAAAATTTTGTAGTTTAAATGATTTATTGCTATCTACATCTGACATCCTGCGTACAGCTAATAAAATAATTAAAACCTGCTGATTTTCCAACACAATGTCCTGCTGCATTCACTGCCTCGCTTAATCCCGCACATCCGATAACTTGCATTGATACTGTGCAGTTTCTGTTGGGTACCGGAGTAAAAGATTGCGGCATTGATATGTTGAATGAGTCTACATGGAGGGACTTTATGTTCGATCTTGATGCAATTGTTCTGCAATATCTCGTGACCTGAAAATTAGATGAATAATTGAAATAGATATTCCAAGGATCAGTAACAAGTAAAACTCTATTGGTTAAGTCGTAACGAAGTTTCCAACAAGTTAGCATACACCGCTGTGTTTTTGGATAACTTGTGGCGCTAAACCAAATGCAAATATGACCACAGTTTTTATCAGAGGCATTCAAACTTCAATTTTGACGGGATAAGCTTAAAACATTTGTATGTTCTGCTATATCTACTTTTATTATGGTTTAACCTCATCCCAACTCTAACATCGAAGATTCATAAAAAACAGCATTGGCATTTTTTCCCAAGTATATCCGGGTCATTGAACTTCCTAGATTGTTGTGAATTTGTCAAAATAGTACCAACATGTCAAGAAAATATGCATGGATTTCACTAGCATTTAAAACTGCTTCAATTAAAAAATCTATAATATTTCACATAAAACCCGCTTGAAAGATGTCTCAACAAGCCTGTGCCAGTAGTCTATTCTGTTTTGCTCAAGTTATAGCGTCACCTACTTTCAAACCTGTGACTGTTTCTGGTTTTTCATTATTCCTCCAAACCCATTGCATAGAACATTGAGTTGATAGAGATGCAGATAACACCGGTTCGGCTATTCCATTTGTACTTGCAGTTTCGTTGTCCGAATATTCATAACCACACTTGCTTTCAGACACACAAGCCTCAACCTAATAGATATAAACATATTGATAATAAGTATTTTGCTCGAGAAAATTTGCTCATAAAAATGTATTCACTATTAAACTTGAATTGGTTGGTTTTGTAGAATATTTGACTATAAGTAACGTTCTGAACTGTCTCACCAACATAGTTTATCAGCTTGCGACTTTCCCATATACGTTAAATTAAAAAAAACATACCGTTACTGAATATTCTGTTGAGGATTTCAATCCGAAAAGTTCTGTATGTTGAGGCGTGATTGATGTAGGGACCGATGAATTCCAAGAAACCTCTTTTTTGGTAGTTAAATTTCGTGCTGAGATTCTAAAACAAAGCGAAATAGATTATCATTATATACAAGAGAGCTATGCTCAAATATATGGACACGTGGAGTCACATAATTTTGATGACGTCATAGCGGAAAAAAAAAGTAATAGCCTTCTGGAGAAAATTTATCTTTAACCACTGAAAATTTCAAAGCAATTGGTCCAGTATTCGAAGAGAAAAGCGACTTTTTAAAAACGTGTCAAAGAACAACAACAACAACATAATATTGAAACGATCGTTAGGTCCACTACGTGTCCAATAAGTCCTAGTAAATGGACAGACATTGTAGCTGTCGATGGATAGCTATAACAAAATATTCATATCTGAACCAAAAGTATATTCATACATTTATTATCTCAGTCATAATTTGGTATTAAGTATAGTATCATTAGCTCTCAGTCATCGACCTATCTATATCAACATGTATAACGAATAGGGATGGGCCGGGATTCGGATCCGGACTCGGATTCGAGTCGAATCCAGGCATTTTTTGGACTCGGATTCGATTTCGAGTCCACGTCTTTTTTACTGAGTCTATAATCAATTCTGTTTTTACTAATTTACGCCTATGTTTGTACTTTTACCCCTATAAATCTCACTACATACCTTAACTATAGTTGAAATTCAAGGTTAGATATGTAACAATATCACTCGTGTGTATTATGAACACTCTTGATAACAACAACGACAGATATCCAGATAATATAACGCAATTTAAAAACTATTGATAGCTCTTAACAAAGTCGCTAGTCGCCTTCAAACTATCTATCTTTTTTGGTATACTTGTGGTACACAATAAAACATGTGTTAGCGCAATATTTTTGAGTTTTCGATTCGCGTAAATAAATATGAAACATGCGCAGGATCAACCCAGGGGCAATCTCATTAATACTTCTTTTAAATCGAGTTTATTACGTGCAATCCTTTCTCTAAAAAGGGAGCAATGGAAAGAATGGAGCGTTTTAGAACGTTTTCAACATGAACTACTAAATTGCAAGCATTGTATTGACTACGAGGGGCATCTCTCTACCATTTGCGCACGCGGATAGTAAATTATATAGCTCCTTCATTGGCATTTGTTTAACCTAATCCTGAGTAAATGATGCAGATTTTTGTACCTGTGAAAAAATCCGATAGCATTTTTGTTGGGTATCCATGTCACGATGAAACTTTGATTGCATGGCGAATTGGTGACCGACGTGATGGATGGATTTCCTTCCACTAAAAGATCGAAATGAATTTTGATGAAATTATTTGATTGTGCAATTGATGAATGTATTTAATCCAAAAAAAAAAACTAAGAATAGTGTAATATCTTCCCGAAATGGCAAGTTTATCACTTTGATATAGTCGCTTTCAAGCATTGTGGCAACGGCCACATATCTATCTGATTTAGGAAGTAAACAAGAAGAAAGGACCATATTTGGGTAATTAATAGTAATATGTTATTTTTTGTCCGTTATTGCCCGGAATACATATCAAGTATATATAACGACTTGTTCTTTTTTTTATCGTAAGCGAAGTTTACCTGTAATATTATGCTCAATACCGCCACTGACATCTGTTATCTTACATATGTATGTATCGATATCGGAAAATGATGCATTCTCTATATGTAATATTGAATCCTTTTCCCTAATTTGTTGATAAATTCCATATTGTCTGGGCATATTCGGAAGAGAACTAAAATTTCTGTACCATTGTACCTCCATACCCGTGCAGGAATCTTTTAGTGCACACACTATTGTTTTATAATTGGAGCTAACATTGATGGAGATTGATGGAGCATCTGTGAACAATTATTTATGTATTATGATAGAAAAATAATAATATTACTATTATGGAACTAAATCATAGTTACATTAAAAACAAATATCGGGCAGACTTATTTCGGACTGTACGATTTGTTGATTGTGATTGTTGTTGTTGGGGAAATTGCTTTCTCCCCATGCAACTAATAAACCAAACATTTTTGGATAAGTCGGTGCCTATTTGCAACATATGCCATTGTGTCCTTCGATCCTATATATATTTGAGTATCACCTACCAGAACAAAAATTGCGAATTCAGTTCATATTTAGTTCAATAAGTAGT